TGCCAGTCTCATCTTCTTAAACTTCCCACGCTCCTGTTGAGGGCTGAGGAAATGCTTATCTCCATGAGTGTGGCCTTCATAACACCATTCCATCACAGCAATGCAGAAATGCCTTCAGACTGAGCTTAATTTGCAGCTGTGTAAAAAATGGCTCCTTTTGCTGCTTTGACAGAAGTACAATCAGATGCTTGGCAAGGAGAGGTCTACCCTAGCTAGGCTGAAGATAGTCCAATGATCACTAGATGGCAGAAAAGATTAGAGTTTTTTATTTCTCTTTGCTCCCATTTAGTACTCATCCAGATTTTTGCAGCCCACATACAGTTAGCCTAAGCAAGGAGAACAGAAGATGCCTGAAATGGCCCATTTACCATACCTTTCAGGTACAGAGAATTGTAGAATCTGTGGTATCTAAATTCTATGGCCCGTAAGTCTTCAGATCCTCTTCACCTGTTGCTGCTGAACTGAAATTTTTAATATAAAGAAAGGGGAAAATATACAAAAAAAATATTTTTTTTTAAGTAGCAGGTTCCACATCCTGAAAATGTTTGAAAACCCCTGATTTAGGTGACAGAGGCAAAAAGTTGTTCACTGAGAAATGTAGAGATTGCCCCTAAGCAGTGCATGGTATCTGCAGCATCGGATCTGTTGGAGTCAGTTGTGTTAACTAGTCAAAACACGCACAAATACAATACAGAAAGTTTAGCAATTATATGATGCTATTGATTAAATGACTCATACATAATGCTGGGTGAGATAATGAATATGTCCTGATCCTTCGAAATATGGATTGACCATTGCTCCTACTCTGGTGATAATTTCTGAAGAGGCATGTGTAGAATTGTTGACTTATGCTGTAAACCTTGTTCTACTTGAACAAATAACTACTCAGTAATAAATTCTGAATGTCTAACAGATACTACTCCCAGGTACAGGTATATAAGAACCGCAACTTCATGCACGCATGAAACTAAAAACAACATTTGTGCTGTCTCTGAATCCCATGTTTTTACCCTGCAGAGCACCCTTCTGATTATATGTGCAAAAACTAAAGCACGCTTTTCTCCTCTGACACTAGAAATATGAGAAAACTGTAGTGAAAGCTGTAAAATAGGCTTAACATATTTGAAGGGAAAAAGTCTCACAAAAGATGGTGAGTCGGAAGAGAGACAGACAATTCTGGCACTGCTAATATATGTGATGTGCTATTTGTATCATTTCCCCATTGGCTCAAAATACTAAGTGTGGCCCTAGCCCCCCAAAAGTTCCCACCACTGAATTATGACATTTCTCCTTTAATAATATCAAATATACTAGGTGGTGATAAATTAACTATTCTCATTTTTCTCATGTAGGCTTATTTTGGCAGGATATCCAAATGGTTAACAATTGAAGTTTTGTACTGGATTTAATGACTGTTTAGATTCCTAAAGATACAAAGGAAAGAAATGTACCACAAACACCTACGTAGCTTAACTGAACACCTAAAAAAATCACCCTCATTGATTCATCAGGGAAACCAGCTTTTTGGTCTGCGTTCGCAATAGATTCTCAAAAGCTGCTTGGCTTTCTTTTCTGGTAGTGAGGCATCTTTTTTTAAAAAAAAATGAACAAGAATAGTTAAGCTGTTAGATATAGGATACAGCATTTAAAAGGAATATATACACACACGCACACTCACACACATATATGAATAGTACAATGTACAAAGTATTCTTTCATCACAGCATTCTCTCAGGAGGCATGAATGGAATCCGAGATCTTTTGAATAATAAACTAGAGCTTGTTTATAAGTTGGAGAAGTTAAAGTAAATAAAACTTACACAGAACACACATACCTCTTAGCTAAATGAGGAAAGTATAGCAGCACTGACAGCCTGTGATCAAATTACTGTATTTTCCATCAGATTTACTCTACCGTACCAATTTCAAAGCCAGAGACTCTTCGTAGATCTCCCGAAAGGCCAAGAGAAAAGCCGAGGCAGTGTTCCATATTGCTGTGCGATTCCAATGCCACACAACAAGCAGAGAACAGAGTAGATGTCAGGTAAAGCCACAGATACTTTATCTCCTGTATAAAGATATATGGCTTCCTTTGGACTTTTAACTGTGCAACCTATGCATAGGATTCTCAGCTCAGCTATCTTTGTTACGGTCCAGTATAACATAAGTGTAACAACCTGTACAGCAATCCAAGTATAATCCAAATATATAACAACACTATAAAAGTTTAATACATGGTGTACTTCTGTTAACGTTGATGGGAGTGGCTGGGCAATGTTTCCATGAGAGGACAAATTGACAATGCAATCCTGCATAGAATTTACACCTTAGAAAAACATGTTCTAGGGTTTCACAGAGGCACAAGGCATTGCCTAAGCTCTACAGGGACTCCTTTATCTCTGCATCCATAATTGCAGAAGGGAGGGCATTAGAATATGCTCTGAGAAAAGCCCATCAGTAATAGGTATAGGATAAGCTTAAATAAATAATGTGCAGGTTGTGGTTCCCTTGATTCACTGAGGAGATGATATAACATGGGGGCTGCTGCTAACTTACGCTGAAGTTCAGTGTCTTCTCATCTTTGTTTATAGTAATACTGTAAATTCCTTGGCTTCGTCATAACCAATATTTAAAAGGAAGTCAGGAGACATGCCAAGATGAAGCAGTTTGTTAAGTTGTTGCTGTATACTACGTAGTTTTAGAATTATCATATACTAGGAGGAGCAGAAGCCACATGGGAGATAGATTCTAAGCCAGTAAGAATCTGCTAGTCGCCAAACACTATCAGTGCTAAGCCTGGCCTCTAGTCTAAGTTCAGCACTGGGGAGGCCTCTAGGTGTAGAGAATGTGGCTGTCAGAAAATATAACTGTATTCTGTCATATGACTGGAATTTTATACCAGGGTGCAGTTACACTCTAAAAATAAGCTGTGCTACTGATTTTGCAACAAATAGCCGCCCAGAGTCCCCGTGTTTGTTGCTGTTAGTGGGGCGTTGTTAGCCGCCCAGAGTCCCCCATGGTGGGGAGATGGGCGGGGACAAGTCTATTAAATAAATAAATAAATAAAATAATTCAGTGGTTGCAGGTATATAAGGCCAACCTGATTCCTAAAAAATCTTACGATGGCTGCCATACTTGTATGAACTGCTGTGGTGCCATAGTTGATATGTGTTGTTTGATGTCTAGAGGCTTGAAAAACCACCTCTAGATATTCAAAGCAACTAACCCAATCGGTTGTCTGTCTATGTACCAGTTGTACTTTTTGGAAAATACCATTTGTTTATTTATTTTTTTTAATAATTAACAACCAACTGTACAAAATTGGCTAGCTCAATACTAGCCCTTCTATAAGGGCAACTTGAATCAAGGAAAGGATTACAGCCTCATACACTTATAACAGGATAGGCAGGTGTTTATCTGCTGGCTTAGGGGCGTGTAGATCATGAGCTCTCACGCAGTTTATGAGTGAATTAATATAAATATTAAATAGGTATAGGGCCAAAACATACTGTCTCTCTCATTTCATTGTTATGATTGAGTTAGTTAGCTGCCTGCTATTACTATAATATACTTTAAATCTAGAGTGCATGTGCAATTTATATAGTAATAGCAGCAAGCATCTGTCTCCATTTTTGGAGTTTGTCCATAATCAGGGTCTTGGGAGAGAATTGAATGCCACCCTAAAATCTACAAATAGCACAAATAGCTGTGTATACATGTTACCTGTGTAATTATCAGCTAAATGTTGCAGGAGAAGGCAGTAGTCTAGAGTTGTTCTCCCTTCCCTAAAACCTGCTTACTCATCTTCCAGGATGTTATCCTGCTCTAACCAGTCACACAACTTCCCAATAAATGCCCTGCATTGAGGAGGCTTATTGGTCTGTAATGGTGGGCAGTAACCTATCACCTTTTTTAAAGATAGAAACAATTATGGTTTTGCCTCTATCTATATTTTCTTTCACTTCTTTCTTTTTCTTATTTTCTGTCTTTTTCTTATTTTTCTTTTAATTTTTTATAGTTTTATTGTATTAAAAAATTCTAATTAAAAAAAATTTTTTTTAAAGGAAACAATTACGGCTTTGCCTCAATCCTCTGGAATACAAGCAGAAACATCCATAAAGGTGAAAAGCAATGCAAGGACTGGAGTCCTTAAGTCCATGTTGGACTTACGTAGTTCTGCTGGGATAAAGTTCAATTTAATTTTATGTATTACAGCCTTCAGCCAGCAAATTAAACAGAAGAGAGTCAAAATAGATAAATACAAATAAGAACAAACAGCAATATGTCTTAAATCTTACTGTGGATCCCCTCCTGAAGCCTTGATGCTTGATAACAAAACTCTGCAACATTGTAAGTTGTAGAAAAAACCCTATTGGCAACCATAAAATCAACACAGACATGGTCTGATTATCCAGGGATTACTGCTAAAAGGGGAAGAATAAGATTTTAATGCATGTTGTACAAAATCTGCAATATAAAAGAACATGTGTTATTGATTCTACCTCTTGTGTGCCACAAGGGCAGAGAAGATGAGCCATGGGGATTCTATAATATTTACCCTGTAACTATGCTGAAGGAAGGGTGTTATAGTGAGCCCAGTAAAACCCCAATGGCAATTTAAGTAGGTCAGGAAGTAAATATAGGGCGCCATGTATTTTCACTTAATTGTGCTCAGTAAGCTACAAACACTAGGCAGTCAGTTCAAATTATACTGCAGCACACTTTCAAGTAATTGTTGGGCAATCAGATTTTTGCCCTGAGACCAACCAAGGTTATATAAAATGGTCTGAGAAAGACGACATGAAAGGAGCTTCTGCTTAAGGGACTTCTTCCAAGTGAATTGGGAAGTATCACTGAGAACAGAGTAGAGCAGCCCAATGTGCTGATAGATAGGTTTTAGCCAATAAGTAAGTATTACTATCCAAACGTTGTCTCTACTCTGATCAGCCCTGTTTCCAACCTAAGAGCTGCGTTTGAGATTAATTTGGGAGTACCAAATATAGAACTAAGGAATTTGGATCGAATAGATTCCAGAGGACTGAAGTTAGAATACGGGCTGATAACTCCTCCAAATAATAGCTGTGCTAAGGCCTTTGACTGATAAAGTATAATGACTACAACACCTCCGTGGTAGTTCTTTGGGCAGAGAGGCAACGTGACCTGCATTAGCACATCTTCTGCCACTGGCTTGAAATATAATCCCAAGATATTGAAACATTTTAAATATGTTTTAACATAACATTTTGTTCTGTCTAATGGCCATTGATGGTCCAACTAAAGTTTTTAGGTTTTCTTGTAAAGTCCATTACCGTAGGTTTTTTCTTGTAGTTAACCGTCAGATGCTCCTTTTGATACTGTTGAACCATGTCAATAATAGCTCCCTTAAGGCCAGTACAAGAAAGGGAGAAAATAACAGCATCAACCACATAGAGGAAGATGGGGAAATATTTATTCCCCAGCCTAGGAACCAAAGTATCTATAGATTTTAGATGCTGAATAAGGGAGTTAATGTAAATATTAAACAGAATAGGTATTCAAATACAACCTTGGTGAACAACCCTGAATGTCAAAATTGATTTAGACACAAAACCAACTTGGTTGTACCAAACTTATAAAGAAGACCCTTCATGTAGCTTGTAGAGAAGGAGCAGAAGATGTTTATCAATTGAGCTGTTATTCAGTTTGGACCATAGCAAATTGTGAAAAGAATCCAATGCTGCTTTAAAACCAACACAGGCAGCAAACAATTGACTCTTAGGTTTAAGTGCATATTTTTCAATAAGATGTCTCAAGACATGATACATAACAGATCTGCCTAGCCTAAAACCAGCTTGTTCCTCTTCTAAAAAGTCCTCTTGAATGGGACTTCCAGGGGAGGTATGGCAAACTGAGACAATCACAGCAAAGACCAAGGAACTGGTGAGTAGACCAGTTCCTTGGCACCTGTCCGGATAAGGAGAGGATGGAGATCACCCACATGTGCTCTGGATAGCTTTCCCTGGACTTACAAGAGTGTAATGTGGATGAATCTTCAAGATCAAGAGGGAAACTATTGAATTGAGCATGAAGTGAATTATCATCAGGCCCTATCTTAGCATTAAAGTCTCTCACCAAAATCAAATATACAAAAGGAAAAGTAGCCATGCAGTGTTCAATATATTGGGCTAAGTCCTGCCTTAACTCTTCAATTTGTGCTTTCAATCTTGTAGAAGATAAATAGATGTTGACACAAAGTAGACTAAAGCAACTAAAAATAAGCTTAATCACCAAAATCCAATTTGCCTGGAATGACAAAGCTGTCACCTGGACCAGGAGGTCAAGGATTTAAGAAATCCCTAAGCTGCCACTTGGTCTGCCACCACTATTACTAGGTGTAATAGTGATTGATGATAATTATGAATATAGAACTCTCCTGGCATACAATTTTCCTGTAGAAACAAAATATCAAACTTAGTAATAAGGTTAATAAAACCAGGTCACAGGATTTATGAGACCAACCAGTTATATTCTATTACTGTATATAAAAGATAGGTTATCTCCAAGCAATAGTTGTCATTCTTGGTTGGGCTCAACAGGACACTGGAAGTTGAAATGGTATCCAAAACTGCAGCTGGTGGAGGACCCTTAGAACAATTTAGGTCTTTAGCAGCTAAAAGGCCTATTTGTAAAGTAGATGTTTGAAGCTTCTGTGGGGGGTCTATAGACTTGGTAAATAGCTGTGAGTCCTTGAAATGAGCCTTAGGATTATAAAGGATGAAGGATGAAGTTGTTTCCTGGAGCTTCCCCTGACTGTAACTGCTCAATTAGCTGCTTGGTTTCAGAGGTGGTTACTGGGGGCCAAGTGGAAATGGCATTTCTGGATACATTGAGAGATACAGAATGTGAGTCCAGTAAATCACAGAGCTCATGACAGTAATTTTCCCATACTTCAGCAAATACACAGCAAGATATTCAAGACAGACCTGTGTCTGGCCAAATACCTGTGAGTTGCAAGAAAAGGGGCATTGCCTCTATCAGTTGATGCCAGATCTCAATGTAGCTTTCTTTTTTTTCCTTAAGAGTTTTTATATTCCCTCTTAGCTTGTAGTAACGTTTGACTAGAAGTAGATGATGGATTGTTTTTATGATCAGTAAATATCTTAGTTAACATTTGCTTAGCCGTAATACAGTCAGAGTCAAAATACCTTTCAGATGGAGGATAATTTTGTAGGGACTTATTAGCCTTGATCAAAAAGAGCTGAAGGTCATGGATCAAGCTGGGATATGCTCTCAAAGCTTCAGCCTCCCCTTGGTAGAGAAGTGTAGCAAACTGCACAATGGCTTCCCTTAATTTATTATGAATAGAATTATGCCCTTATGACTTCAAGGACTTCAGTACAATGTTTAGAATTGCAGTGGGTCCACAAGGGAGGATCAGCTTAGCAACTGAACTTTACTGATTAAAAAGATCCAAAGCCAGCTTTTTACTATCCTAGCCCTAGCCAGACTTAGTTGCTCTGTCATGCTAGCTTTTAAAATTCTGGTCAGAAAGTCATCTTAAGATACATCTTAGCATTTTGGATTAAAACTAGCAAAGTCAAAATTGACTCGGGGATTAAATGACACACAGAAAGTTTAGTGAAGCAATGTACTTGCAGGAACCTAAAGTGCCATGAAAAATGAAGCATGACTGGAAGCTAGCCATTTTGAAACAAATTTATCCATTTCATTGGTCAGATGCAATGTTAGATAATCAGTCATTTTAAAATGTAGAGCATTCATAAATAAGAGACGGGCTTGTTTTCGTATGCTATTCCAAACTAGCTTGTGCAAATATAGTCTGGCCTAAATCTTTGGGAAATTCAGGCGTGGTGACTTGCTATAAAGAACATGGGTCTCCTGCTCAAAATAACAATCCTGCATTGAATTCTCCCTTCTGTTCTGTTCCAACTACTCCAAATTATTGTATACCCTAATAACAGTACACTACGATACAGTGGAATGGGGATGTGAAAGCCGCCTTACAGAAGGGGCCATCCGTATGTATCTGGCTACAACTTCCATCACTGTCACTTACCATGATCATAAACATATGTTGCACCGTTTTTTGTTATAGACGTTTAAACATCTCAAAAGGCACTTGCCATTGTCAGAGATATTGTTCATGGCTTGGATCCAGAGAACCGCTGATGGAAAAGACGTTGGCACCATGTAATTTCACCATACACTTTTTTCCTCCACATGCCACAGCCTACTGTATTTGTTAAAGCCCTGTGACTCATAACCAAAGTTTTACTTGATGCTTATAGGTTGTGCTGCAAGAGAAATTGTTAGGAAAGTATCTTTTTGCTAATTTCCTTTCCATCAAATCTGCTCTGAATGAAAGCAATACTACTATTATTAAGCAACAATCAAGGTATATAAGGTGGATACAAACTGGCACTTAGCAGTTTGATCTGAAGCAATTAACTGGCTTCCATTGTTTACTTCTATTCCATGCAAGCATTGCCCACTTATGTTTACCTATCAAGCCTCTGCTAAAAACTCAGCATAGCCAGACTGTATTTTGTTTTCTCTAGCCAGCCTAATATGACCTTATCCTCTTTGGAATTAGGGGAAGGGCTAAAAGGCCATAGGACATGACATCCTCAGGACAGGAAAAAAAATTGCCTCACTTTCCCAAATCCAGTGTGCAAGTAGCAACTTTCAAAGAAGTGTCTCACTCTAGTGTAAATTGAAATGGATCTGTAGGGGGCCTTCAGGACAAGCATTTTATTGTTCAATGGTCGTCCCTCAAATATGAAATTTTAGAGAAGTTCAGATAGTGTTGATGATTCCAGATGGACAGCTTCCAGCACTGACAGTCAAATGGCACTGTATTGTTCCATTTATCTCTCTTATTCCTTACTATTTAAAAAAAAATCTGCTAACAAAAAAGACCAAGTTGGGACAAATGGGAAGATGACAAATGAAAGATAATGCTATCTGCAACCCACTCTCCATAAAATTCCGTAACTGGAGTAAGACCATTGCACACACACAGTCTTATCTCCATATTCCCCAAAAGCATTTTAAAGGGGGAATGCTGGAATTGCTGTTCAGGATCTTTTGGCCCATGATATTCCACATTTGGAAGTACCCCTTTGTCAATCTACTTTCTCTGGGATGAATTCAACGGAGTAGAGATTTGGATGGAAGAAAGCTACTACAGATATTGTGGGTCTTGCAAATGTATACCTAGTGCTTAAATTATAGGAAGGCATTCCCCCTCACCCTCCAGCCATCCCAGTTGCTCCTAAAAAAGGGAATTAGCCTTTAAGAACAGACTTCTCCCTCCTTCTTTTAAATAACAACCATTTGGCAGTAGTTCCTTCTATTTCTGGCTATCCTTAAGGAAACAAGCATGGAAATATAAGAGAAGCAAGAATAAATGAAGGATGAATACAACACCTTCTGTCACAACCTTTTTCCATATTCTTAGAATTACATATGTGGCTTCATTCGTAGGCTTAAGCTGTGGCACTTCCTTAAAAACAAAAAGCACCACACCCCATTGTCTCTGCCTCTCTTAAGAATAGGGCGGATTAAAACAAAAGTCAAAATTATTAGTTTCTTTTGAACGGATGTAGAAAAATACCCACTGGTGTGACTGGATATTACACGATGGATTAAATAACATTATGTCAGTGCCATATAGGCCATCGGATGGCGCTCACTCCCTTTCACCACTGGCCTTTCACCAGACCCACTAAAACACCCATTTCCCATTTTTAAAAGGAAAATTCCAAATGGACACAATGCTACGTTTCAGAGCACGATCCTGTGCCCTCAAATCTAGAAGGAAGCTCTGTGAACTTAGGCACAGAGACTTTTTGGAATAGACGTGCATAAATCTGAACAGTAAGGGTTTGATTTGCCATAACAGGATTGCTGAAAATGATGGTAGCCAATTTGATTGGAAGGCAACGGAGATAGAAAACAGTGGTCTCAAGCAGACGTACTTGTGAATACGCCATGAAACTCAAGGGCAGATTGCCCCAGTTAGTCCCCACAGCCTACTTCTGAGCAGGCGAGCACAAGAAAGCGATTTCTCTCTGCCCGCCTCTTCCTACCCTGGAATTCCCTTCCCCAGCAGTTTGCATCCAGCCCCCCTTGTGAGTGGCTGACTCATCTCCTAGCAACCCCATCAGCACCCTCCCTCCCGGCCCTCCTCCTCTCCAGTTGAGTGACCTCGCGGATTCCGCCTCTTCCGTTTCCACTGCCGCCCGCTTCTCTGCCGGCTGGTGTGCTATTGTTTCTCTGCGGGCATCAGGTAGGGGAGCCGAGGGGGGCCTCTGGGGCCTCGGACGGGGGCTGAGGGGTGGAAAGAGGATGACCAAGGAGTAGCTGCAGCTGGAAGAGCCTTGCAGCAGCTTCCCCGCTCTTTGGATGAGCTAGACTACAACTTCCATAATCACCGGCAGTCGGTGGGATCCTTGACTCTGTCTTCCATTACTGAGAATAGAACCAAGAAACTATTCCACATCCTTGTGGGTCAAACAGGGTAGTTGTCTCCCGGTGTGTTGTTGAGGGTGCTTAGCATAAAGGAGAAACTAAAGGATGCCAGTTGGTTTAAATGATCTGCTTTCCTGGACACTGTACGTGGTTCTGGGCTGAAGGAGGAGCAAAAGGTAGATGGTACACCAGTTGAATGAATGAAGGTGACAATTGTTTTAAAAGAGGTTTTCTTCATTCTTCTCTGTTTCAGGTGACTCGCTCTGGAGCTGCTGCAACACTCTGACTCGTGATGCACATACTGAAATTGGAGATGAGAGGGAAATCAAGTTATGTTTCATCCTGGTTGTGAGTGTGCATGTCTATAATGGAGCTGCAGAATGGGTCCTCATTAACAATAATTGGTCTCTGATGGTCAGGAATAAGAAACATGCTAGCGTTGTGTTGAAAGAGGGGAAGAAACAAGACAGCATTGTTAGAAGCAAGGAGAAAAAATTGTATTTTTTTATACTGTTGGGGATTGGTCTTGTATTTGTTTATTTACTAAAATGGGGAACAGATTGGTTATAGCAGATAAGTGAATACAAGTGTCACTGTGAGGAATAAATTGACATTGTGAAAATAAAGTGTGGATAAGGGAGAAAATGATTAGTGGTCTAAAGAGGCTAGTAATTCTCTCTTCGTTTGAGAATAAAGATTCCTCTGATTTAAGGAAAGAAATGTTTGTTGGTATACAATGATAAAATAGTTAAGATAGCTGAAATGAACATACTTTCTTTGTAATGTTTATATTTTGGGCCAACTAATGAGGTAATAACAGCAGAAGACTATTTCTTTAGGCCTACAAGTTAGTATTCTCTTATATGATTGAATTAACTATCTAGAGTGGCAATACTAAATCAATAGAAGATGGAAGAGGTTGAAAGCAGAAGATCTAAATCATCTTCAGGACTGCTTCCAGAATGGAGTTTGGCTTTCTGGACTCTGTGCTCAGTGATGGTGCCAGTCATGATCACTTTGTGGTGCAGTTTTCGGCGATCTCGGAGGCAAGGACTTGTGCAGGATATCTTGCATAAAAGCAAGCATGATTGGCAAGGCATAGACTTCTTTAGTCAGCCTACCTATTGCTGCATCTGCACTCAGCACATTCTCCAAGGAGCTTTCTGCAATTGCTGCGGGCTGCGTGTCGATGAAGAGTGTCTGAAGAAAGCAGATGGTCATTTCCTGTGCAAGGAAATTGTGACAAGGGGCCACGGTGGGAGTCTGACTTCTATGGTGCACCACTGGATCCGAGGCAACGTCCCGCTGTGTAGCTACTGTGTTGTGTGCAAACTACAATGTGGTACTCAACCCAAGCTCTGCGATTACAGGTAATGCTGGAGGTTTAAATGTCAGGGCAGCGGTAGATGAAATAACATAATGATGTCAGTTCAATGTTTATTTTCCTTATATGTCTGAGCCTTGATCACTATACTGTATTTTATGCAAGCCACCCATTGTAGTTTGTCTAAATGGCTGCAGTTATTACATCTTACCCTCCTTTTAATTATGGATGACATCTAATGATTGGAGAGATTTTTGCATATTCTTTTGATATAATTGGATTACGAATGCGTCTTAGCTTGCAATTACTCGGGGCTCAGGAATGTGATAGGATAGGATTTTGCTAAAGCTACCCCTGATGGTGGCTGTCAGGTTTAACAAGGTGTTCACTGGAAACCTGCTTTGGAGTCAATACAATGCAGTTCTACTTTGCTAAAAATCTGGTAGAACTAGAGCCACATGATGTTGAGTTACACCCACTTAATGTTTCCTGGAGATGTTTCTGGGAGCAAAAGCCTTTTGTTATTGGAAATAGCTTCTTCTCAAGTCTTACTGGGTAGAAAATTTCCTTTATTTTTTTAAAGAAACATATTTTGTGGATATTCACATTTTAAAAACAAATGAAAAGAATGTAGGTTAGGTACAATCACTAAGAAAAAATTAACATTCCAAAAAAGGAAAAAAGAAATCTGTTTGTTCTCTGAATATATTAACCTTAATTTGGCATGCTAATCTGTCACTTCTATTTTTTATGTAAAACAGCTGGAATGATCTCCTCCACAAGCATCTTGTTTATACACCTCTTGACTCACTTCTTGTTTTACACTATAGCTCAGCCTTCTTGGTGCCCTTCAGATGTATTGCATTATGTTTTATTTATAACTTTTTCTTATTTGGTACAACTGGGGATTGTTTTTCATAGTGTGACAACAAAGCTTTTAAAAATCTAAAATTACATATAATGCAACATGAAAGGTATTCTTTTTAAACAATATATCAGATCTCTCTGTGATATCATGATGCATAGCAGAACTGACCTGTATTTTAATCTATTATTTCATTATTAATTCATTTATATTATTATTGTACAGAATTTGGGTATGTTTGTTGTGTTGGCTGAAACTATCTTCTGCCAACTCTTAAAAGGAGGCCTTTTGTTCTCCTTTGGTGGTTGATTATCCTTTCTTGGTATATTACTGTCTTTTAAAAGACAAAAAACACATCCTTTTTTTTCTGTCCTTAGAGTAACACCAAACGGATGTGGCTTATCTTATTATTCGACTACGTGTTTCATGAAATCCTGTAGCTTTTGAGATTTTATTGCATGCACGCTTTCAAGCATATTTATGCAGGGGGGAAATCTAGAAACTTCCCCTTTATAAAAATAAAAACTGGGATTTCCAGTTTAGTTTCAAAATTTTTGCAGTTGTGGAATGATTGCATATGTATAACCCTTGTTAATCTCATTCTATACTCTGTTGGAAGTAGAGATTGAGAACCTGTCAAAGGAATTTAAAAACAAACAATTGCACAGTTAATTGCTATATTTTTAATGATATTGCTATTTATATATTCAGTATTATCTATTATTCTGTTGGCTTTAAATCAGACTTATTTACTTTTCTTCTAGGGCCATGTAATGCTTCCAATTTATTTCAGAAGAGGTATTTCGGAACCTGCAGGAGTGGGAATGCTATTCCTGTCTGAGACTTATTATCATTATTATTATTATTATTTTAAAAAATAGAAGGCATCATTGAAAACTTACCCTGTCTTTCAAGTGTAGCCCAAGGATCGGTCAAGCATAGAGCTCTCCAGTTCTCAGGACCTCTGGCCTTTGGTCATTGCAGGCTAAAGCTGATGGGACTTGGAGCCCAACTACTTTAAAATTTAAAGGAATGGAATAATAAATGAATGTGTGTGATGCTGATACAGATTAGTTTTAGGTTGATCATATATCCCTAATGTAATGATTTAGTATATAGTATATTTCTCCATGTAATGTAGTATAGTGGTTAGGGTGTTAGACATGGACCAGGGAGTCAGTAACATTCCAAAACATGGGATAAACTACTTTAAAAAGGTCTCAGGTCTTTTGGACCTGAACTATTATATTCCAAATGGATTTTTCTTTTTGTTAGAATATTGTCAAAAATATTATCTGAGGTCATTCCAAGTAACACATAAGAATTATAAATGTTCTTTTCTCTTTCAATGGCTGACTGGCTCTTTTTCTGAATTATAGGAAAAAACTGAGCCCCCAAGAGGTGCCATGTTTACTTGATGGAATATATATTGTCCATCTGCTGCTTGGAGGGTGTTGTGGTTGCTTTTGGGAATTATTTCTCTTGGATTTTTAATGCTTTTTTTCATTGGGTCTGAAGTGATGATGCCAGACCACCATTTTTTGTTTTTTTTTCTTTGTTTTAAGCCAAGCTTCCTTTTAATAAACAGAGTTTATTCAGTGTGAATTAAGCACCTCATTCACTTTTTATGAATAAAAAATGTTTGCCATTTCACAGTCTTTTCATATTGAAGGTTCTGTCAAAATACATAATGTGCCTTTTCCAGCAAGAACATCATATAATAAAGGTAGTACTTCTGAAAAAAAATAGTAATCTTGCCTTGAGTCTTTGTTATATTGGATAGAGTAGGAACAATAATGGTACGTAACAATAGAGAACATGTAAATATATCTCTTTTTAAGGCACTTGTATTGGTTTGTATACTAATCTACATATTGTTACCCTATCTCAAGTGCTTATCCCAGATGTATAACTAAACAGTTTTAAAATCCAGCAAAAACAGAGTAACATCTAAACCATGTATTGATATTTCTCCCCCCTTTCCTATCTGAATCTTGAGTCCCAGGCATTTCCCAAACATATCAATCTTGGAAAACTTTCAAAAACATTCCTGGCTACTTTGCACTGGTGCTGGTGGTGAGCTTCCCTAGAATTTCCTCCCAGTAGGCTGATTTTCAGTCAAACACCTGCTGGGAGCTATCTGAGGATTTTTTTTTATTTGGCAGGAAAATATTCTAGCTTCCCCAAGGGATTCTTTATGCTGCCTTTATTGACTTGAAGGAGACTTTCAGTTTGGTCTCTTGTAAGAGGCAGTGGCAGAATCTCATCATCTCTTCTACTGACTGTTGTTTATTGCAGGTAATAATTATATTTCATGAGGACACCTTTGCAAATGTGACTCCACTGGCATCCTTACACCTCCCATCTCCCCATAATAGAGAGATAAAGAAAATTGTATTTTTGCTCCCCTCCTATTTAACTGTCCTTTGTGTCCTTTGTGTCATATATGGCTTTCTAAATATAAATGTCACCCTCTGCTAAATCACAGATTAAATTCTTGCTTCTTTATGCTGATAGCAATTCTTTCCTTTAACTGAAATCAGCCTCTGCTGTTCCCTCTGGATATTAAATGGTGCCAAATTGAGGGGTTGGAAATAAATCACTCAAAAGCAAAGGTGCTTCTTTTCACTAAGCAATGCTGTAACTATAAACAGGAAATTAATCATTTTCAAATCAAGTAGTAAAGACATTCACAACTTTACATTTGCCACTCACAGAAGAATACTGAAACAGCATTGGCAATAATGCAAAGCTGCTGGAAAGTGAGGACAGATAGAAGAGAGGTTTATATTCTACAATATCCATCTGAGAGTAATAAGGAAAGAGTAGGCTTGACATGCTTTATTCAGTGGTGGAATGAGTACACCCTTTTTTGTTAAGTCCCTCAAAATGATATTGTTTCCATAATCGTCTGGTAATAACATGGCAATGAAACCAGTCTTGTTTCCTTTCAGGTGTGTTTGGTGCCAGCAAACTGTACATGATGATTGTATGCAGAACTCTTTGAAGAATGAGAAGTGTGAACTGGGAGAGTTTCACAACCTCATTATCCCCCCATATTACTTGCTCAATGCCAGTCAGATGCGTAAAGATAAACGAGTGAACTATGACAAGGTAAGTCCTGTTTTGTTTGTTCTCAAGACACAGCTGTAGAGGGCTTTGAAATGCCTTGTTTCAGGAGCTCAGAATCCTTGGCTGGGTGGGTTTGACCTTGCAGACCAGACCAAAAGTCCAGACCAAAGAAAGAGGAGAAGGAGTATGATACATGTGTTGTATTACTCTGTAGTTCATTAAGAAAAATCACAAAGGAAGAGAAATTGAGAAAGAAGCTGGATAGGTACAATATATAACCATTACATAAAGGGCTTGCTGGCAACCTGGTATGAAATAGCTTCCCCAGAAAAGTGCACAAACATTAAGATAGCAAAAGCTCTTTTTATTACCCATCCTTTAAAATAGCTTATGGTTCATAGACTGGGTTGCTCTGTTGAAAATCTGTATCTTAATTGTACTTTTTTAATGTTACTTTTTAATATTGGGCTAACATATAATGTATGTAGTTATAAAACAAGTAGATAAATTAGGTGAATCTTCAGCTATGTATGTTGCATTGGGGGGATTGTTTTACTTGCCAGGGGTTGGTACTTAAAAACAGGATATTTGCTTCTAATGTGTACCCATTCTATTGTGGGTATCCTTTTCTTCCTGCGTTTGCTTTTCAAAATTAAAACAAAATCCCATTAACTTTGGGAGCTCTCTAACGGATCACTTTGTCTTGCTGCTGCCACCAAACCCTTTTCTAGTTTAGAAATTCTTTTCTTTTTCTCCTTTATTTTATTCTGCTGAGGGAATGTGACTAGGTGGAATGTGGGGAAGTTACAAGTCAGCACAGTCACTTTGTTAACATTTGAACAAAGAAACAAACTTTTATTAAATAACTTTTGTTAAATGAATTATAAACTGGTTTACTTAATATTACAATAGCGTATCAATACTTATCTTCCCTGGGCTCTAACAGATGGAGGCTTTCTTAGGCTAGAACCCTGTTGTTGTTCAGTCGTTAAGTTGTGTCTGACTCTTCATGACCCCATGAACCATATTGCACCAGTCCTTCCTGTCCTTCACTGCCTCCCTGAATTTGCTCAGTTTCATGCTCATTGCCTCAGTGATGCTATCTAACCATCTCATCCTCTGCCGTCCTCTTCTCCTTTTGCCTTCAATCTTTCCCAGCATCAGGGTCTTTTCCAAGGAAAAGACTTCCTCAAACATCTCCTTCCACCTCTATATCCTCAGTCTATCTCTTCCCAGTTCCCTCCTTTCTCTGGAATATAAACAGGGAAGAGAGGTCCCCTGCATTGTCATGTTTGATTGGCAGCTCCACTACCCAATCGTCACAACTTCTAGCACATTCAGATACATGTATAGTTGGAAATAAGTCCCACTGAGTTCAAGTGGACTTATTGACGAATTATGAGGAATTACATCCTTCAACATTTATTTAAGTTACAGTATATTAGAGAGGGAAACTCATTCCTTCCCGAAGCAATTTTTGAGAGATAGCTAACTCCCCTTTCAAAACTATCTGCCAATCAAGGGAACACTGTGATTGGTAGATGGTTTCCCACAAACCAGTAACTTTTGGCATAGCATGTAAACGTATATCCATAAGTCTTTGACATGTCTGTAGAAGTGGACATATTAATGAAGTTCAGTACTTCTGTTGGTAATTCTGATAGGTTAAGAAATTGCACATCTTTTGGTAAGTAGTATATTTATTTCCTGCCCAATCATAATGTCCAGGAAATCCTGAGTTTTATTTGTGAGAGAGGGTTCATCTGTCATTGTAGGGAGTCATGGTATTGCAAAGTTTGGGAACACTTGTGCTTGTTAAGAGTGTGGGAAACCGCTTGTTACTAATAACATCCCTCTGATAAAGGTGTGTGGCAGCCCAAGTAGTACCCCAATAAAATATCATAAAATGCAGGTTCGTAGGTTATAGCTTTACATAGCTGCTCTTGGAATGACTTGGAAGTGTAAACTCATCCTATTGCAAGATCAAGGAACAAAATAAATGTTACCACTTTTAATTAGCAGAAATGGTAGAGCTTGATTTTACTATGGCTGTACCAAAGAAAGGCCAGCTCTGAGACACCCACTTGGCAAGTTGAACAAGTTCAAGCATATATTTCAGTCTCTGCGCAGATTGCACATGTTAGCTTGCTTCTGGTTTAAAAGACTTGTCCAGATCAGCTTTGCAATCTAGACATAGGATCTAAGATCTATTGTGGATATGAACTTTTCTGTAGCTGTATCTTATGCATTCCCAGGACATACATCTCCATTAAATGCATTCAAAAGAATTATTATAAATTTGAGTTCTTACAGGCTGTAGGTTCTGTTGACCCTTTGAAGATAGTAATGGTATGAAAATATTTCAACATACCACAATTAATTTAAACAGACATATCAAAAAAAGGCCATTATATGAAGAAAAAAACCTGGATCTTATATGTGAATCATCCTTTAAGTCTTACATTGAACAGGAAAATTGATATTTCCTATAAATTGTAAAGCAACTTATTTTTCTCTAAGCAATTTTCAAGGGTACGCTTTCCCTCTTACAATTTAATAATGAATTTCTCAACAACATGATGAAGAAATAAGAAGGTAGTCCTGTTTTGTTTTCTCACACAGATGCACATTGAAACACCTTGTTTCTACTTTTTGTTTGTTTGTTTGTTTGCAGCTATCTGCTTCCTATGGGAAAAATTGGACCCCAGTAATAATTCTGGTTAATACTCGGAGTGGAAACAATATGGGGGAAACACTGATGGGGCAACTCAAGATTTTATTAAATCCAATTCAGGTAATTGCATTTTCAGTGAAACTGAAGATGAGCCAGACTTGTTGCTTAAGTAAGAAATCAAACACAGCTTAAGACATCCTGCTAAAAAAAATTAGGATCAGAAACTTAAAAACTCCCTGAGGCATGATTATCACTGTGGTCAAGACACATTCAATTGAAGAAACATGAATAACAAGCATAGCATGATACAGTATAGTGAACCTTTAGCTCTCCATATGTTGCTAACACCTTCTGACTGCTAGTTGGTGTTCATGGATGCGCTCTGCAAGCCTTCTGCCTGCCTGTCCTACTTAGTGTTTGTTACAGTCCTTACACTCTATGTTGTAGATGACTCCTGTTTTTCCTTCTTGGGCTACTGGATCTTGCTGATATGGATTCTTTCACTAGTTCTGGGTTTATGGATGTAAAGAGTGCTGTGACATCA